ATATGATTGATGCATTTAATTTTTGGCAACATCTATTATTTATTTAAATCTATATTCTTATGAATGGCGTTAAATAATAGAGTCTGTAGATTTAAGTTTGGGTAATTTGTTAATCACAGGGAGTTGTGATTGTGGGATCCAAATTACGTGTGATTGAATATTAAATAATCCATGATCGTAAATATTAATGAGATACGAATATTGTTATTACAGATAGACCATCACGTGTGACATTTTCTTACTTGTGAAGTAAGTAACTGATTTCACAAGTTAAAGTATGGTAACACTTAAAATGAACACGTGGATATTTTATTATAGAACAAAATATTTGAGATCCGCTGAGAGATTCTACATGGATAACTATCTGAGTACCAGTGGTTAATCTCAATGTTCGATAGTGGAATTAGTCCTTTGACTTGAGGTCATCAAAGTAGCTGATATGAGGACAGTCATACTTTGACGGTGTTGGATGTTACCCTACTAAGGGTCGTTAATACGACATCGTTCGTGTATGTCAAGAATCATATGAAATTTGTGAGTAACTAATAGATGATTCGTCACTCTCAGATAGTAAGAAATTATGATCCACATTTCATTCAATTAAGTTGATAATGAAATATTTGGCTAAGATGTACTCAGAGGTCGAAAAGGTGTTTTCGACTTATATTGACTTAATAGTAGAGTGAAATATATGATCGATAATCAAAATTGACATGCTTTCATATCTCGTGAGTGATTGGATCATATTGATGAAGGGATTATAGTTTCACGGTAAACGAATAAGTTTGGTTTTGTCATATCACGTGATATTTTCCCTCATATGTATTGCTCTGATATATTGATAGATGTCAATATGGGACGGCGAATGTAAATTGATGATGAATTTATCAAATTTTTATTAGATCAAAATAATAATTCACATTGCTAGGCATTATTATCGAAAACCTGATGGGTCGCACAAAAAATGAGAACTAGAAGATTATAATTTGTTAATTAATTAATTAATTCAACAAGCATTGGATAAATTAATTAATTGAGTTGCTTATCTACATGCCCAAATTAATTAATTGAATTGATTAATTCATGAACTGAATTTAATTAAGTGTGTTAATTAAATATTGGACCGGATCAAGAGATAGGCCTAGCCCCTTTGGGCTTATATAAATAAGTGGCTAGGGTTTAGAATTTGTAGAGATTTTATTTTTCTTGCTAGCACGAGAGGAGAAAATTATGATTCCTACAATCTTGTTCTCTGTGTGGGATTCTATTAAAGATTAGATAATTGGACAGCTGTGGGTGGGGAATCAAGGTTGCTGAAATAAAAGAAAAGTAAATGAGTTTGCAAATTTAGAAAAAGGTATAACTTCTATCACAATTTCTACTTAAATACAAAGTAGATTATTGGTGGGAATTGAAATCTGTTTTATTTTTCGCTGTGCATGATAAGTAAATTCCCAACACCATATGGGTAGGGGATTTTCTAGGTATGTGACTGACTTACTTACCACTCAATCCGCTAACGCTTTCGTAGCGATTGTGTGCTTTGCCTCTCCATGCATTGCATATTCTTTCCAAATTAAATTTCTACACAATTGTGGCATCGTCCCTTGTTGTGCGAGCGTTCACAATGTTCCCTCCACCTCTTCCCGTAGTACCTCATACATGCCGTCATCGACACCACCTTCACTCTATGCACATCTGCATTAGTTCTTGAGTAGACGGCTCTACTAGTTGCTACATCACCACATATGTCGAAGTATACCTGCAAATACCCCCACTATTCAATTTCCACAGACATGTCTTAGTCATGCCCTTGCGAAACAAACATTTATGTAGTAAGCAAAACTGCTTAACATATGCCCCAACATCCATCATCCTCAAAACTATCCATCCTCAATTTTACTTGCTTGCCAACCACTTTGCCACATGTCAGCGGTTGTAAAATCTTCTCCTCAGGAATGTACGTCGTTAGTCTTAGGTAAACCAACAATACAACGTTCAAATTGGACCTGCTCATATACTATGTGTAACAAAACATCTGTTTGGCCCTTGAGGTTCCAGAACACCCCAAGGTAGCCTTCTCCACGCCTGTGGCTGGCAAGCTAAGATATGCAATATAAGCACAAATAATGGGTAGGAAGCTTGCCATTGTACCCGTATAAGGGATATCGTTAGTGCACTTCTGAGAATATAGCAATAAACTTGCAATAAGCAATCTCACCATGCCACATGGGTAGGGGAGTTCTTTAAGCGTGTGACTGTTAGCTCTGAAGGGAAGATTTACCAATATTAGCATATGCATTACTGGAGAAATTCTACAACTAATTGGGCATAGAAAGAAATAAGTTAAAGCACGCTACGATATTGCTTTTGAAATTAGTTTCACCCCTCTCAAATTCAAAATTCAGTGCAATATCCAAGAAATCTGAAGATAAGAAAATATTAAAATAGTTGTGCATAAGTTGTTACTTGAGTCACTTGTCAATGCATAGTGTCGTAATATGTGATTCATATAGAGTAAAACACGTGTTTGCTGAAACAAATAGGGCGATGTCAGAGTGTAGCGGATTGGAATGAGGGTAGCATATCGCACTGAACAAAATGAAACTAAGCAGGATAGATTCTCGAAATCTTGAACGGGTTAGGATTAGGTATTATATATGATGTAACCCTATTATTTACATATGATAAAATCATAGTTTCTTTGCTTCCATGGACGTAGGCCTACTGTTGAACAATGTAAATATTGTTTTGTCTTTCTTTCTTGATTCCATATTGTTCATTACTATTATTGCACAAAACATGACATATAGGATTTCCCAACAAGTAAACAGGATTTCATGTTGAGCATTCAAACAAGCTCAAAATATCACTTTCCTTGAACATTTTGTATATCACAAATAATGCAGGTATTAGTGGGTTATTCTACTGATAGCCACATTACCTTTTTTCCCTTGCTGAAGGAATACAACCGAGTCTTTACACACACACACACACACACACACAAATGATAATGAAACATTTAATTTATTTATTTTTTAGTCAAAATTATGTTCAATTATTTGTCATCTCTATTCACTTGCTGACGAAGGCAGAACATCTATTTACACCTTCTTACCTCTTTATTGATGGCTCAACAACATTGATGGTAAAGAAAAGTCCTTTAAGGAAATTCTAAGCACGACCAAATAAGCTTTTAGTTCTTTATAACAAAAAGAAAAAAAAAAAAAAATCTTTTACAGAATTGCCTTCACCAGTAACTAAACAAAAAGTGAGGAGAATTTCATATTTGGTTTTGCGTCTGTCTCATTTTATCTAAAGAGGAAAATCAAATTAATTCCAATTTTTGATATCTTCAATTCATTATCTCATATATATATATATATAAGGACTGAAAATAATGCAGAAATCCGTAAATTGTCTAAGCAAAAAAGTTGTCTATCAACGAAAGTCATAATGACACCACTATAAGTAGTCATCTAGCTTTCTATCGTAATGTAGCCCGTATTGTTAAAAATTCTAGTTTGTCTAATAATATATAAATATATATTAGATTTTATCTTACTATTGAAGTTCATTTAGATCACCATGTATTATTTCTAATTTATCTAGGTATTTGTTATATTCTCAAACTCTTTAATAAGTACCTATTATATTTATTCATTTCTTTAAAATTTGGGAAATTTACAAAATATGAAGCACACAAGTGTAAGTACTATTCGCACAACGTATTTTATAAATTTACATATTACATATTACATTTTGTATTATGATTGCGAAAAGCACCATTTGTTGAAATATTTATAAAAATGGCATTATGATTAATTGATTAGATAAATTACTCTCAATTGAAATAACGAATCACATATTCTCTAATTATTGTTTTTTCGTTAAATATTCATTTTTTTCTTTAATTGATGATATTTTGTATGTGTGATAATTATAAAATTTATTATTTTCATTTCCTAAACTCTAACATTAAACCAATAAAAATCAATTTTACTAAGTTAAAAAGATATTGAAAAATTTTTAAAAAATGCTGCGTTTGACTTTACCAATATTGTAAGCAAATAAAAATTCTTGACTTATGTCTTCTAATTAATAAATTTTTTAAATGAATTAAAATTTTAAAAATCAGTTAAATAATTTTTTATGTTAATTTTATTTGTACTTAAAATTTTGCTACTTAAAAAATTGCTAAGAAAGTAAATATTTTCAGCGAGAAAGCTTCACAGAAGAGAAAGTATAAAAATAAAATTAATACAAAAATATAAGTTTGTGTAAGAAATAACATAATTGATGCAGTGAAAAGACTCCACTTTGATCGACGCATTAGTGAGAGAGAAAATTAATTAGATGAAAATGAAATCATAGTTAAAATTTTTGAGAATAAAAAAGTTTTAAAAAGTGGTACGTAAAATGTTACATAATGCCATGCAAATGGTGTGATGTATTTTTATTTTTTTATTATGATTATTTTGGTCTACTTAACTATTTTTAACGAAAATTTTATATGCTTTCTAGCAAAAAGTTATTTTTTGTCGTCGCACTTTAAAATGTAGTATGTAAAGTAATAATTTTGAAATTAACATATATACAATATAAATACGTTTTATATAGCCAGTGCAGTTTGTAAGAGCTTACATTTTATAGAGTTTACAATTTTTTTTATTTTTGAATTCTAATATTTAAACATCTGAAATTATGTAATTTCCACTATTTACATTTAAAAGCCCACTCTACTTAACGCCGAAACTTCGGGAGTTTGAGGCCCAAATGTTTACTTGCAATGGCCTAATTTATAAGTTCAATTCAAAAGCGCATCATCAAAACAAATTTTTGACAAATAATTCAATAAACCTACATTTTATTGATTATTTGTGAAAAATACATTGATTAGTTTAAAATAACAATTTGAAAATTTTCTCATCAAAGCTAGAAAAGAAAAAGAAACATTTTGGAAATTTCCAGACAAGACTCTGACAAATGGATACAAAATTTTAATGACACCCCTTGAAACCAGTGGGCGACCCCTCGAAATTTTGCCACTAGCAAATAAAAACAATTGACAGAGTCCAAGAACCTCCGACGACTGACGCGATTGTTTTGTTTTTTCATTAATAAATAAAACCTAAAGCCACTCTCTTGCAAGATTTGGGGCTTTGCCACCCAAAGAAACGGAGGGATTTTGGTAAAAACAAATTCATTTTTGGATGGACCCTCGAGTTTTTCTTTGGTTTTCTCTGTGTTTCTTCTTTCTTTTTCCGAATCTTTCTAATGCTGCTGTCCAAATCCCTGGAGGGTATGTTGCTCCTTTTGTTTGTACATTAATTCCTATTTACATGTATATGTATGTATATTCGTATGTCCATTCAAGAATTCAGATCATGACTGATTTTTATTTTTAAATTTTTTTTGTGGGCTATATCAGAAAAGAGTCGGTTCTGAAATTGACCACGGGTACCTCGTCTGTTCCGTTGGATCCAACACGGGTCACCCAAATCTCATGGCGTCCAAGGTTCTATTTTTTGTTTTTTCGTTTTCACTTTTTACTTTCACCTTACTCTGTGTCTGTATGTAGAGATAAATGCATACATTTGTGCGCTCGCGCGCGCGTGTTGTGTTGAATCCACTGTGTTTGATCAATGATGTTATGATTTTAATGGTGTTCTACAGGGCTTTTATATACAGGGGATTTTTGACCGATAAGGAGTGTGATCATCTTATCACTCTGGTTAGCCCTTTTTTCCCTTTTCCAATATGCCTGCACATTATAAATAATTTGTTGATTGTGATTTATTAGATTTAATGAAAACAGGAAATGTGGGAAATTGTTGTTGTTTGTTGGGGGGGGGGGGGGGGGGGTTGAAATTGAACTCTACGAAAATTTGAAATAAGCTGGATCATTCTGGCAAGAGGGCTTTTTACATTTCTTCTTTATTGGACTAATATTAAGTTATGTAGTTGTTAATTAATTCGTAATTTAGAGGAAGGGAAGGAAGGGCATGAACTTCATTTATTTGTTCTCCGTCTGATTGAATTTGGATGAGCAGGCTAAGGATAAGCTCGAGAAGTCTATGGTAGCAGACAATGATTCTGGAAAGAGTATAGAAAGTGAAGTTCGCACAAGTTCTGGCATGTTTCTTAAGAAGGCTCAGGTTAGCGAAAAATACTATTCCAAGATTTTTCTTTATCGACTTTGAATCCTGTTTTTACAATTTTTTTCAGATTTAAACGGTTATAATTTAATGTGGGTGGTGTGTGAATTATACTATATTTGGATATTGGGATGCTTCTAAGTACTTAGTTTATGGAGATATAGACTTGTTATTGCCTGTTAATTATGTTTGTTTGACATAAAGCACTCTGCAATCTGATTTAAACCTGTGATTGTTATACTGGGGAATGGGGATGCCAAGAATCTAAAATGCAATTCACTTGCATTGTAATTGTGTTGCCATCATTTGTAGTTAACTAAACACAGACATGTTTCATAACAGTTTTAGTCGCATTTATGGTCGAATGATCACAAAATTAGGTTTGCAATGAAATTCTTAAAGTATTTAATTATTAATGGGAGTGTAATGCAATGCACCCGTTTTCCAATGAATCAGTGGGAAGCAAACTTAGACGATGAGGCAAGTGTGCAATTGTATCCTTTTTGCTGGAACCTTCATTGACATGTAATATCTTCGTTCCTCTCACCATATGATAGTCTTGTATAGAATTGCCTGTCAGCTTTAGGGTTTGGATATGCATTGTGAGAAACGTAGAACTACCCTACTAGTAATACTGACATCCAGAAGTCCGAGACTTCCGCAAATCAACTATAATTATTTCATGAATATATAGTAGGAAATGGCTTTTATCAAGGCATGAATTAAGAATCTTTTGATTCTTATTTGACTTTCTCATTTTAAATGGCACGTGATAAGTCAAAAGTACAAAATAAAAATAAAAATGTCCTTCATCTTTGAGATACTCTTTCAAACGGTGACCGTAACTCGTTTAATATCTAATCTAGGAATGAGTAATTGTTTAGCTGTCCGGATCTAATTAAATCTTGTAATGCCTTCTGTTATCAGCCCCTTTTTTTTTTTTTTTACCTCTTATAAACAAGTGGCTGCAGGTTCTTTAATGTTCATAGCTTTATTATGAACCATATTTGAAAGAAATTAAAAGGTAAGATCACATCTGTGTGAGTCTGTGTTAAAAATATGATGCAACACAAACAATGGCTCACATCCTTATTTTTATAACTCGTAGCTATTCTTCAGAAGATCGGCTGTATTGGAACACTATTGACAACCTTGCTGCATAATTCCTTCCCTGATTATCCGTCCAAGAAAATGGATGATCTCGAGTCAATGCATGAGCTTCTTTCCCCTTCTTGCATGTGCCAAGTTTACAAATCTGCATCACTCAAGTGTCCTTGGATAATATTGCAATTCAACAAGCATTACAATCATAAATTATCAGTTTTTGGTTGGATATGCTTTTCAAGATGTCTGGATTATTTTTTTACAGTTGTCCTGTGTTGTTTCCTTCACCTTGATTCTTACCTTCCCTGCCTTTAAATGGCAATACTTGATGTGCTGACATACTTTTGATATGGTAGACTTGTCGTTTCTTTGATTTTTGTATGGGAATTTTGCTCTTCTGCTATATGTAGTAGACCATTGTCACAACAATATATGTTAAATGTGAAGGACTTCATTTTAATAAACAGTTTTGTAATTGAATATAACTTACTGAAGTTATAATGTGCTAAATGTATGTTAATTTTCCTTTGAAGGATGATGTAGTTGAGAGTATTGAAGCAAGGATTGCTGCCTGGACTTTCCTCCCTCCTGGTATTCAGGAATGGTTCATTAAATTTTGTTCACTTTGGTTTAACGAAGACTTCTTACTCTGTTTATGATTTTTGCCTTGTAGAGAATGGGGAATCTATTCAAATACTGCATTATGAGCATGGACAGAAGTATGAACCGCACTTTGATTATTTTCATGACAAGGCCAATCAAGAACTCGGTGGTCATCGGGTGGCTACTGTACTTATGTATTTGTCGAATATTGAGAAGGGCGGAGAAACTGTCTTCCCCAATTCAGAGGTGTCTAATACTTCATAATGTTATGCTTGTCTTTGTCTTTTTATCCCCTTGCGCATTCAAGACCAAAAAATGTGTTCTCCTTCTTATTATTTTTTCTCTTTATTTTTGATATGTATTATAGTCAACAAAAACTCAGCCCAAAGGCAGTGACTGGTCCAATTGTGCTAAAGATGGCTATGCAGGTAATATGTTTTTACTGATTGGCATGTCGTTCGATGTCCATTTGCTTCATTTTGCTTCATTGATTATGTTAAGTTGTTAATATTTAGCACACAGGCAAAGGAAGGGATCGGAAAAAATACTAAGTATAATGAACTTTGGGAGCTTGTTTGGTTGTCCTTAAAAAAGAGACAAACTTGAAAAATCGTGTTTGGCAATATGAGTACTTTTAAACACAACATACTCAACAACTTGTTATTTCTTTGACATTTTGGTCTTGCTGATCTAGATGAATGGTGTTCTCTTTATTGTCGTTTGATATTGTAGACCTTGCCCATGTTTCCGTTAGGCCGTTCCTTATTATTTTCACTTAGAAAATAGCACTTTCTTTGAGTTGTTTCTTGTCAGAATGGTGATGTCACTTCCTTTTAAGAGATTATACGAGGCACGAAGCTAAAAATAAGCATCGTTTTGTTTTACAACATGAATTGAGGTGACTTGACCTCTTGGTAGAAGGTTTTTGGATTACACACAATGACCTTTTTCCCACTTTTCTTTTACAGTAAAACCCCGGAAGGGTGATGCATTATTGTTCTTTAGTCTTCACCCTGATGCAACCACTGATCCTTCGAGTTTGCATGGGAGCTGTCCTGTCATTGAAGGCGAGAAGTGGTCCGCGACAAAGTGGATTCACGTGAGATCTTTTGATACACCTAAGAATTCTGCAAATGGAGATTGTGTCGACTCAAATCCAAACTGTCCTGCGTGGGCTCTTCAGGGCGAATGCAAGAAAAATTCCTTATATATGGTGGGTTCAGAAGACGCTGTTGGTTATTGTAGGAAGAGCTGCAAGGTGTGCTCGTCGTAGTAACTTTTTTTCTCGGGAATTGACATCGTCGTAAGAGAGAACTTGTCTATTATTGGTGTATATAATAGTGAACTGTGTTTGTACCCTCCCAGAAGTTTAGCAGAGAATAAGAATGAAAAGGGAGTCATTACACTTGGCATGGGGAATGGATGAAAAAACTATGCCCTTCAAAACTGTAATCTCAACTGTCATTTTGATCAATCTTATTAATCAATTGTTTGGGATTTGCCATAACCTGGTGGTGTGTTCAAGTTTTGCTGTCATTCATTTGTGAAGAATTTCCAGCCATAACATATTTGATAAAGAGAAACGAAAAGACAGTCTACATGTAAATGTTCATGCTAAAGATATGATTATAAATAATTTATTTTTTTTCTTTTATTTTTTAAAATGAGATTGTTGAATTAATTTAAATCATAACCTCAATAAATTGTTGTTTTTCATACGTGCCGTGCCCATGAACGCAGTCCATCTACAAATATGTTACTTTTTAGCATATTTTAAAAAAAATATTTTTTGTATTAGATTCTAAAGTATTTATAAAATGATTTATATTTGAATTTTGATTACTCATTAGGTTTTGTTGCAAAGGGGGGGAATAAAAAAAAAAAGGCGAATAAAAAATGAATTTTAATGTGAGATAATTTTAAGATCTAATGTTCAAAGATCTAGTGCATCTTGATGTAATATACAAGCAAAAAGAAAAATTTGAGATAATCGAATTCATTTGAGAACCATTATCGAGAATTTGATTGAAATCGATCGATTCTCAAGGCATAGTTCCAAAACAACCTATTTGATTCCAAATCGGCCGGTTCTATCTGATTTCGATTCGGTTTCACACAAAAATTATCCACCCTTATATATAAGGATAGTAAGGTCCCATGAAAATGGCCTCATCAAAATCCACATGCAAAATGAGAATTCTTGATTATCAAGTTTATCAACAGAGTTGAAGTCGATTACATAAATTGTTATTATATTCATCATTAGATGTAGACATATTTTAAAATGACTAAATTCTCAACAACGAGCGAACTAAAATATTTTTTAAAATTAACATTGTCATTTATTTGTGAAAATTACAATATCAAACTTTTAATGAAGAAATAAATCTTACCTATACAAATCAAGACTACGCGCATATCAGTGATTTTGATTTTAGTAACCAAAAGGTGGTCTAGAATTGGTGAATTACTAATACACCACACTTAATAGTACTGGCTTTTGGGGACATTTATAACTTCAAAAATTATACCATTTTCCCTTGGCAATAGAATGGTAAATCGCACCAGAGGTCCTTAAATAGCATTGCACTGTTGTCCTCAACTTTCAAAATGAAGCATTTTTGTTCCCAACTCTCATTTCAGTAGCACTTTAATCCCTGATGAACAATTTTACCCTTATCTTCATTTAATAAGCTAAAATGTCATTATAAAAATGATTTTGCCCTTGCATACGATAATGAAAACGAAATCAAATGGAATGAATGAAGTAATTTTCGGAGTTTTCAAATATTTGACATTTTATTATGACAAAAATGGCGATGGTGTCAATTAAGGTGATGTGATGGGACCGATCGACTGGGAGAAGAATCTAAAGTTTTCTTTTCTTCTTCTATTCTCATTTTTATTATGTACTACAAAATTGTCTTTTTAAAATATTTTCTTTGGTTTAATCCGGATAAGAGTAAAATTTTCAAGGGGATCGAAGTGCTACTAAAATGAAAAGCTGGGGACAAAAGTGCAACATGCATCAAAGGTTGGTGATCTCCCAATATAATCTTTTTTGCCTAAAGGGACATACAACTGCTTCAGTCTCCAGCCTATGAACTCATCAGCCAAGTCTATCTCTCTTCATTTCTTCTTCACATCAGCCAAACAGGTACATTGTTCTGCAGTTTTGGACAGTATTAGCTGAGCTTAATGGTGGGAGACAGCCCAGGAAAGGTCTTGGTGGTGGCGTTGTTGGCGGGGTTTCTTTGTTTAACTTTCATTGGATTATCCAATCGAGATACTAAAATGGTTGCAGTTCCATCAACCACAAATTTCAAGCTTAATTCGGTTAGCAAGAGAAGAGTGCCTACTGGACCTGATCCCATTCACAACAGGTATGTCTAATTAAGATGCCAAGGATATGTTTAGTATACTGAACTAGTCGATAAATGTGTACAATACTGTTTAGTTCAGCGTACCAAACATAAGTCTTGTAATTTGTACGAGATAATGTATGATAATTTAATGATCACGTGTGTGCGATAATTTTTGCTTCTATTCTAATTAAAGTGACAATGTTACCTTCAGGGGAACGAGGAATTCTATAGAACCATCTATGCAAGGTTAAGTTTGGCATGTAAGATTAGACACAAGCGGTATAATTCAGTTATCAACCTGCTCAAACCTCGTCTTGTTGGAGTTTGTGTAGAGTTTTTCATATACTATCCTGCTCGAGAATTTCTAGATTGAATGTTTAATTAAGGTTCTATGTTTATCGTACCAAGAAATATTAGAACTAGGTCGTCTGTATTCATGTAAAACAGTTCGAGAAAGTAGTTAATACTTTCAAAGGTTGTTAAATTGTTATCAAATTCTGGGGATTCTGCTTTAGATACCCTTTGAAGGGAATCAAATGGAATTTTGGTCAAGTTTTGCAATTTTGGTATTTGGGATTAATTAAATTTTGATTCTTTCTTTTTATATTAAAAATAAGAGAAAATTCACTTGAACGCTAGAGTGGAGTGTACAGCCCTCTCACATAAGAGGGGGGCCCACAGTGATAAAAAAAATTCGTGAACCCCTTCTCATGTGAGGAGGTTATACATTAGTGTACATGTAGCAACTCTCTATATAATTAGGTCCAACACCAGCCGATACTTTTTCTATTTAAGATAAGAACAATGACTTCTTAAGAGAGAGACTCAATTGTATGAGAGATTAAATTGAAAAAGCATGAAAGTTTATCTTTTTCTAAAAGTTTGGTTGCCATTCATGTCACCCGAGTATTTGTTTTGTTTTGTTTTGTTTTTACTTTTTCTCTCTTTATATAATGTACTATGAGCCATAGTAATAGCAAACAAATTTACGAAGTTTATGTTGCACGCATCACTTTATAGAGAGCTTTGAGGAGGAAAAACTATCTTTAGGGTTTCTTGGCCTCACCTTTTAAATTCAAAGAAAGGTTCATTGATTAATGTTATGTATCGCCACTTGTGTAAGGCACTGATCTATGTGACAATTACATGGTATTAAATAATAGATTCATTTAAATGCAAAGTCATACGACTTATTTAGTGGAACATATGAAATGTTGACATCTAGACTGGTGCTCTAACATTACTGATTTTAGATAGTATCATTCTTTACTTAATCTTGTCCATCTGAGGTTTATTTCTTGTTAATCAAGAAGCGTCTCTATTCCTTCTAGATCATGAATGCGATTCTGGATCAATTGTATTGCTCCTCCTATGACCTCGAGATGCAAAGCAAGTCCACAATGTATTCAACATTTCTTTTGTTAAAATTTCTCATTTCTTACGATTTGCATTTCTTGTTGAAATCTCTTAAGTCTTAGCAACGTTCATGACCAAAACTCTTTCTTGTTAACTTCTAAGATCCCGCCATGTCAAATTTAACGTACTAAGTACGTATTGAAAATTAATCCATAAAAAATGCTACACATCCCAATAAATGAGAAATTTTTATATGTGTATGTGACATGCATGAATTAAGGGGAGTCTTTTACTTTTGGTTGGATTGGCCCTTTTGTGTTCTCCTAACAAAGAACTCGCATGGGTTAAAAGGGGCACTTTTTCCAAAATTGTTTTCCTTAAATTTTGCTATATGACAGTGTCGGGGTTAGCCAAATGCCTGGAATTCAGGGTTTGATTAATTGATTGATTAAACAATTATCTCTGGTGCATCAAAATAAGTAAAAAAGTTTGTTGGTAAGTAATTTATTTTGTTTGAATTCATTAATCCCATATATGAGATAATAATGCGACAGCATCAGTAACATAATGATAGGAGAGCTGGACAAAAACTATCGTTTAGGTTAGTGGCGGAGCTAGAACTTGACGAGCCATGAAGGTCACCTGTGTTGGCTCCTTCGAAAAATTCTTTTTTTATTGTTCGACAGTCGCTTGAGCTGAATGGCCGTCTAGTGTGTGCCCTATGTCACACGAATTGCTGAATTCGTCACTAGAATGCCTTGACTATGTTGTAAAAAACGTCACGTCTTTACTTTTTTATAGCTAACTAATTTTTGAACTAAGCGATTTGGTTAAATATAAAAAATACTAAATCAAATATTTCAATCATAGCTTGGGCTTCTTTATTATTATTATTAATTTTTTATAATTTACTATTTTGAAGCATATTTTCATTTTCCTAACAAATTGTAAGGTCTGTGTCTCTCGTACTTTATGTTTTTCTTTAATAAGCAGAATTTCGTTGTTTGTACAAAAGCAGTGTTGCTAAAAATTCATCTGATGATGTTGCTACTGTAGCATCTGGTTGGTCTCCCATTTTTATTTTATTTTATTTATTTATTTATTTATTTTTTCAATAAGAAAAATTGCCAATTGTATTCTTTGGAAATTCTGGCAGCAATTTTACACCTAGCAGGGTTGTAATAACCATGGAAAAGTTTGTGCCAAACTCTATTGATTAGGTACTTTCAGATTAAAAACTGTAATAATATAAAGTTCAATCGACCACAAAAATTAAAACTAAGGCATGACTACAACCTTTCAAAATTTTGTACTACACCAAAATGTGAAACTCAATGTTTTGAAAATTGACTCGAAAAGGATGAAGGGTCAAAATGTTCAACTGAGGTCGAACTGAATGCAATAAATACATACAAAAATAAAAAAATAATATGAAAAAAATAATTTTTTTAAAATTTTTTTATAGTAATAATTTGTTAATTAGATTCATTATTTTATAATTTTTTTTTAACATCTTTGTTGTGCCACTATCCCACATTGGAAGTTTATAAAACCATTGGAGAGAAGTGCATTTATAAAATGCATTATCCCACATTGGAAGTTTATGAAATTATTGCATCTATAAAATGTGCATGTCATATAATATTTCTCCATGGGCCTTTGAATTGTTGTTTATGAGGTCCATTCATGAAGTTGAAATTTTTTAAACTAAAAAAAATAATAATAATAATAAAATAAAAATTGGGAAAACCACAAAACCGTGATCGGTTCATCGATTTATGATTAA